GTTACACCTTTGTGATGACGTACTTGCCTTGTACTTAAGAAGAATTCAAAATAAGATAGGGGTGGCCTCCATGTAGTTTTAGGTTGTTAGTATTTAGTTTTAGTATCATGCACTGAGGAAAAACAGAGCAGGAGCGTGAGGAGATGTAAGAAGAAAAATGGAGACCCAAGATCACAGTAGGGAGAAGATGGGATGGGTTGCTGTGCTGTTGCTGTGGTTCTCGAGCATGGAGTAAATAAGTTGTTCTTGAAAGGACTATTTCATCAATGAGAGACCTGTATGGAAAAAGAGAGCGACCTTGCTCTGAGGAAAAAAACCTGGCCTTTGAGAACTGGACTGAACTGATCAGGAGCCAAAAAGGGGGAAGAGGCTTGGCCCCCCCCACGACGTTCGAAGTGAGTTGATGCTAAGAAAAAAATGTGTTCCGCGGGGAGGAAGAGATGTCCCCACCCTATGTCTGAAGTAAGTGGATCCTTAGAAAGAAGCTGTGTTCTGCCAGGAGATTTGTGATAGTGGTCTTACRCCACCGAAACAACGCAGTTTGGCCTTGAAGAACATTCTTTCCTTTCTCCCACGAGGTAAAGAAAATATTCCCTCGCCATCAGCAGTTATACACTGACTGTTTCCTGGGAAAAGACCTTTCAGAGCTTGGAGCTGTAAGAACGCTTCTCCTATGGTGCTGGACAACAACTGTAATGAGTAGTTTGATCTATGTTAGACTTTCATTCCTGTCCCCTATGTGTGCAGGAAAAATATAGGGGGTGGAGATGGGAGGACCTGGGAAAGAGATGGGTCCCTGGAAAGGATAACAGGTGTCTTAAAATGTCTGTTTTTATTTTTCTTCTCCTTGTAAATTTTTCCCTATCTTTGTTCCCCTCCTTGATGCGGTAGTATTCTTAGTAGTTTGTAGTAATAAATCTATTTTGCAACTTAAGTTATTCAGCCTGTGTGACCATTCTCTGGAGCACATATGTATCTTTCTCTCAATTATGTTATGTTATCTGAAAGCCATAAATTTTCGTGWTAATTGGRCTTTTGCTCTCCCTTCTTCCTCTCCGGTGGGGGAAAGGAGAGAACGTCATGGGTGCAGTGCTTTTTGGCTTTCAGCACAGTCCAAACCATGACATTTCTGGTGCCGTGACTCGGATTGGGAAAAATCAGGTTTAAACCCACGACAACAACTCAAAGTTTTGCTGCACATTCCAGCTCTACTGTAGGTTAAATTCTAGTAACTTTCTTTCTGCAAGCAAGCAGAAAGAAAGTATACAACCAAAGGAGAATGCTCATGAAATACGTGATGCCATATAACCTTGCTCTAATACTGCACAATTCTTTTTTTATTCTCYTTSCTTTTCTTATGTTYATCATGATAAAATAATTTGTGACTGCTTACAGTGATAGTCTTCTAGTATAAACAATAGCAGAAACAATAGATTCAATAATAGTTTCTTCATTTTTTTTTTTGTGCATGACATAACACCCCCTCTACAGTAAGCAAGTTYCCCTTCCCAGAATATTCCTGGGACAATGGTACAAAACTGATGCTGCCCACTCAGAACCTCTACTGCCCTAGAACACATAGAGAATGAGCCCAAATCAGATGCTCCTGTGTTAATAACTGCCCACGGGCTGTGCTGGCAATTTCTACTTTCAGGCATCTAGCCAATGTGCCAGGATTTTTTTAAGCATTCTGCAGAGAGGAATCTATAAGCCCTTTTTGGAAGTCTCAAGCTAATCACCACAATGAGATGCTAGAAGTCAAATGGCTCGAACATTTCTAGCACAAGAAACATAATTCAGCTAATTAACAGTGAAAAGTATCATTTATACTTCAGGAATAACTGTGAAGTTTTCACCCCTCTTCTCAATAGGAGAACAAGAACCAATATTTATGCAGCCAGCCCCCTTTTTAATAGCCTTCTCCCCACTGCTTGCCTGTCCAGGTGTTTAACAGATCCCTTAAATCTGAGTTTCAGAATGTTACTTCTGCTGCACCCTCTTTGTTTCTTTACAATAAAATCTAAATTACTTGGTTTTCTTTTGCTATGTAATGTCAGAAGAGGGGTCTTGCATCAGCTACCAGCTACATGACTTTCTTCACAACTGCTTTCCCATATATTCATTGAAATCAAATGTATTTCAACTTGTTGAAATTCTTTTTTTCTTTTTTTTCCTTTGAACTGCTGTAATGTAACACAGCTTTGGTTCTACTGGTTATCTAAAAGGCATCAACCATATCTCAGTAATTTCTGCATAAGCGACATGACATTAAACCCTTCCCCTCAACCATGATAAATAGTACACAGCTCTTCACTGGTTTCCTCTTTTGTGAATGCAGGACAGTGCTGCAAGATATCTTACTATGGGCTATCATAGCTTGTTTTGTTASAGTGCTTTGATGAATACTTTGGCAAGGGACTGAGAAAAAGGAATAGCTGAGATCGCACTTATTTTCTATTTTTATCTAAACTCCTTTTTTATTGCCTAAACCTAATTTCCCCATCATGGAATCGGAATCTGGATTAACCATTTTGTGCTGCACTTCAGCACCCACTTYTGCTTCGAACTGAAACGAAACAAACATTTTCCAAGCAACATGATTTGTAGCACAGGAATCTTTACAACGTATCTACAGTTCCCACCCAAACAGAATTTTGGGTAAAATACTAAATTATACTTTTGTAAAGCACGCCACCACGTGGTACCCGACATCTCTGCAAAACCAATTCGCTTCACGACTTTTGTGCCTCCAAAACTATCTGAAGTCAGTGCTCACATATGCCCAAATACTGCAAAGACTTCCGCTAGCAGAAGTATCCCAAACATGTGCAAAACCACATGCAACGTGCTGCCCTAGACAATGTGCTGTCCTAAACTATGGGCAAGGCCAAAATTATTTTTCTTTTCTCATAGCTTGCTTTGTTTATTAAAGGCTTCTCAGCATTCTTCCTGCATTTTCCTTCTACGCTTACAAGTTACTGAGTAGGACCAACCCACCATCTCCAGAAGAAATATAATGATACACTCATTGCAAACAAAAGAAGCAAAAAAAAAAAAAAAAAAAAAAAAAAAAAACCTCAAAAGAAGAAAACAGTCACTGCTGGTTAAATAACAAGTTGAAGGAAGTCCCATTTGCAGCCACTCTTTAATATCACTGTCAAAATTAAGAGTTAAAAGAGGAGTAGCAAATGTATTTAAAAAAMCAACACATACTCAATAATACTGAAACATATTCAAAGCATACGTATTAGCAATAATCACCTGTGGCACTGAATAAAAATTATTCAAAAACAATAATGGAACTCAATAGGACTGTCAGTGAAAGCATTTGTTCACTTAACAAAATCCATCAGAAATAATATTGTTCAAGTGTGCAGAGAAACAAACTTACACAGAAAAAACATTACTGATTATCAAGATCATTGTTTTGCTTTCTTCTGCATAGATAGAATATAACTCCATTCTTCCTACTTTGCCTAGTTTTATTTTTAAAGTATTTAATTAATTTAAGAAGTTTTAATTTTATTAGGATTCAGAGTCTAGTCTAGACCAGAAAACACATAATCATTTCAATGACAAGTGAGCTTTCTTCGTAGTACTTGCATTATTGTATGTGCCAGTTATGACAATGTCATAGACAACATGTTCTTATCAAATAACATAATGTGCTGGGTTTTTTTCACTTTCTTCAGTTTTTTTAAAGGACTGTTTCATATCATATACCATATTCTTTATTACATTTCTGAGTAATTTTTATTATAGCAGCATTTTACATCTTTTTTTTCTCCTAAGAATAAAGCAGGCTGAAAAGACTAACCAAAAACAATGGTCCTGGGAACAAAATAGATAATGTTTTGTAAGATGAGGATATGATTGTTGTGGTAATGCAAAATAATGTCCAACAGAGGGTGATAGAGACCATAAACTCGTTAGACACTTAATTCAATTACCAGTTTKCTGAGTCATAGATCAGAATTCATCAGAGATCAGAACCAGAGATTAGGGAAAGCTTTAAAGCACAATCAACTTCACCCAGATCAATCAYGTACAAAGGAAATCCAAAGCTATTGCTTCTCATGCGCAAAGAAACACAGAACAGAAACAAACATGGCACTGTCCAGATGTGCACAAGAGTAATCTGGACATGCAGAGGACAAGGTTGTACTCAGCAGTGATTTCCTCTGGCAAACCAACTATTTAAACTGTACYTGACCTTGCACTATTGGAGTTCAGGAGTCGCATCTGACTCACTTCTACATCTTTTGCCAACAAATATAGGAAACAGAGGTGAGTGTCAAATGCTCCTTGCTAGGAATTTATTTCTTTCATTGACTTCACTTGAAAGATTACAGACTTCTTTTTCTTTAAACACTGTAACATTTTGTTAAAATTGCTACCATCTTGCAAAAAGTGTATTTAYTCACTGCAAAGGGAATCTACACAGCAGACAGCAAAAAGTCACACAGCAGCTCCTTCTGAASCCATGAAAAGTAACCATTCACTCAAGTGTTTTCCAAGAACATCAGTGCTGAGTAAATGGAGAGCCAGAAAGACCTGAGGCAAACGTGGCCCAATCAGAAAAGTCAGACTAGCAGCAACTATAAGGCTATCAAAAGAAACCATTCTGTTTCTATCTATCAAAAGAAAACATTCTGTTGCAGACTCTAAAAAATGTCTTCACTCTAAAAATGAATCAAAGAAACATACTGTATTTCTTTCTTATTTAACCTTCCAATCTTTTTGTTCTGATTCTTYCACAGAATCTCTTTGGTAGAAAGTAGAATATGTGGAAAAAGCTCAGTGACAGTCACCTTAGTTGTGGCTAAAACACCTCCTGAATCCATCCCTTCAGCATTTCATAGTTTGTTCTCAGTACATAGAACTAYTAGTTAAGAAAAAGACCGACCTTTAATAATAAAAGTTAATGTTTTTCACATCTACTTTAATAAAAACTGAAAAAAAAACGAAAGTAAGTTTAAGACACCACTGCCTCGCCTTACCTTGCACTGCCCTGCCACACAGATGGCAGTYCCGTTGGGGTCACAGGGGGTGCCATCGATCACTGTCTCTGCCTGGCGCACGTAGAAGCGGTAGCCGATGGCCCGGCARTTCAGCTCACACTTCTGACTCCCCTTCACTGTGGACACACACACAAGGCCCACAGTTACACAAAGCACAGCAGCAGATTTGAAAAGGAAAAGCTCATTAATGAACAGTAAGGTCTGAGGGGAAGAAACAAATATGCAAACAATGCAACATGGGTGTCTGCATCAAATGAATGGTAAGAAACGAACTCCAAGGTAATCATTCCAACACACCTTATGAAAATTTAAACAGTACCTCTGTTATTAATTACTGACACTTTCCTAAATGCAAGAGTATTTTTAGTTTCATAAAAACATTGTCCAGTTAGTATTCTTAATGCATAATAACATTAATGCATAACATTATGGCATTTCATAACTTCTAAGTGTCAGCAAAATTACACCGTAATCAGAAGGATGTGCACCAAATCAGGCTCGCTTATTATCACTGGTCTGTTCAGGTCAGTTAMGCATACAAACATCTGGCACTGAGAAATATTTTAAACAAGACAGATGTAAATTTTTAAAAACTCTATTGTTTTTTCTCTTCATTTTTACAAGTTATTTTTTTACTAAAAAAACCTAACTCTTTCATTCTATTCCATTTTTAAAAACTTTCAAAAATATAGAAATAATTTTCAAAAATATATAAAATGTATTATTATTCAAAACCCCACGGTTTCTGCTGACATGCAAGAGCCAATAGGAAACCAGTCCACTAAACACTTGGGTGAGAGGAACACAGAAGACAAGAAACAAGACATCTTATCTTCTGCTAAAATCTGTTCCTTCATTAGATACAGTCTAACACTCCCCATATCTTATGCTATCAGGTTTGTTAACACATTTGCATAGCCTTTCTGTTGCAAATCATCTGTCACATCAGAGTTGCTCACAGCTTATTACCCCTCTTTGCTAAGTGAAATAACAATACCTTCAGTTTCTTTCCAACCAAGAGTAGCACAAATACACAGGGGCATCAGTGTCCAAACAGAAATCCTTTTTCTTTTGAGAATACTTTCATCGCTGCCACAATAATGAACTAAAATTATTCTCAATTCATCAAGCTTTAGCTCATGTCCTATACTGAAATTGAAACCTACTATTTAATGGGTCAAAGGAGATGCTATGTGCCCTAGTTCAATACTAAAACATTATGTTCTCAGGATTTTCTACTTGACTTCAGTGTATTTTTGAATCTTCAGCTAAGACATAAGAAAATGCCAAAATAAATGAATGCAATCACTTCAAATATATATTAAACAATTGTTCTCTGTAGAAGTCCCAAACTTCCAGCTCAACTTCAGTTACCCCCTGTGCAGAGACAGGATTAATGSAGACCAATTCTGAATTCTGGATCTTAGATTTCCCCTCAAACAGCTGTTYAACTGCCACTCATATACATCATGTATTGTCTGGTAATCTGATAAAATCCACAAAAACATCTACTAATTTTAAGAGAGGTCAAAGCTCTGTTTAACTAGTTTGGCTTTTTTTTGCAGAAGCCATGTATGCCATGTTTTAGATTCACTAAGCTTATCTTTCCAAGGACTTCACTTAGTTATTTGAAAAAAATTTAAAAAAACACAAAAACCTTAAACTGAGGTATTTCCTGCAGTTCCATCTCCAAGTGTAACAGCTAGGTTTAATGACAAACTGAGCATTATTCTTAGCAGCTTCATCACTTCACACATAACTATATTCTGAATTCTCAAATAAATACAACCCAGTTTCAGTGATTCATTACAATTTAAGTCAACATGTCCTTTTCTGTGTCCAAAAGTGTCCTATTTTTATAACATGCAAAGCTACCAATCAAGCAGCACCTCCGCAGTGTACATTTTCTTATCTTTCCATTCTCTAAATCAAATCAAACAAGCCATTTAGGGTTTCTGAGATGTCCTTATCTTCCATGCTGATTCCCTTAAGTTCAGTGTCCTGAAGCCTCACATGACTGTATTACTCCTCTACTGATTCTCCCCCATATGGTTTCTTGAAATTATCAGTTGGCCTTCTAGATCCCAGTAAAAGTTCTGTGCTACTCAAAGATTAAATAATTACCTGCTGAAGCATGGTATTTTTTTCTGGGACCTCTCTCTTCCTTCACTTCTGCTGTAATAGGTTAGCCTACTCCACTGCTAATGCAGCACARTAGAGATTATTTGCTGTGTAAAGAAATAATTCCCATTTCAAAATCTCCAAGCTTCTTTCTTTCTCATTAGGAACTCTTCCCACTCACACAAAAAGACATATTAGAACAGTCACTGTCTCTGACCCAAAATAAATAAACGAACAAACAAATCAGGCCTTAACAACAAACATAACCTATAACCCTCTGACTTTCGATATTCAGATTATTTTGATGAGCACCTGTAAGGTACTGCCTTGGTTAGGCATACACCAATCACACTGCCTAAAGACAACATTCCCAAACATGAAAGATCTGAAAAAACTTGTCCACAAAGAGAAAAATCTGTTAACTGAATCTCCTCTGCTGAAAAACAGACATTTCCCAGAAGGATTTTATGCAAACATTATGTGTTACTGTGTAAGATGCAGAAATGACAGCAGAACAAACAAATTTTAGAATTCCCATATAGAACAAGACACCACACTAGTAAAAAAAGCCTCTCTTACCCTGTGTTTTGCCACAGCTCTTGAGGTTTTATAGTTCAGGTGCTAGGCCGAGCTGTTCTATTGGCTTGGCAACTGGACATGAAATGTCAATTAAACTGGGAGCTGTGAGATGATTGATTCCACACAGCCCACATATTTGAGTACCATATCATCTGATCCCAGACTGCACAAAAGGATCGATCGGACTCTCAGGGATACAGTAAGGCTTCCAGGTGAAGGCCTTCCCAACCAGCTGGCAGCAAGACACACTTCCACAAAAAAAACCTGGGCTCTTATAAAGTGTGACACAGTTACGAGGACAGTTCATTACACAGGTACTGTTTAAACTACCCTCCTAGTGTATTTGCTTTTCATTCACATGTTCACCTTAGCATAACCAAGTCTTTGTGCAAAGTCTCACCCTATCTTATTAAATAGTCAACTTGGGTGAAATTTAATGGTACCACACAGGTTCTGCCAGACATATTCATTATTGATTTAACTGAAGGGGATGCCTTCAGTAAACAATCCTAGTAACATGTAATGTTTGGTTTTCATTTTACAGACTGAAAAAGTATCTAAAACAAATAATCAGAACTTTCCTTAAAACATCCTTGCAAATACCTAAGGGATATCCTGGTCTTCTCTAAACTGCAAAACTCCMGAGTTGGTTCTTTTCCAAGTCCTCTGTTGAAAGTTACCTTCCACCTTTCCCTAWGAGGAATTAAAGTCAGGCATGCTAAAGCAGGACCACAACGAAGTTCCACCACCTTCCACATCCTCAATAACGACACCAAGATCTCACATTACATTACAAACTGCACCTGCTCTGCATCACAGAGCACAAATTACAGTGAAAGCTTCCACCATTCTCCTAAAATTGACTTTGCTGATCAAACTTGAATCACAATTAAATATCAACACACTTCATTGCAAATTTCAGTGCAGTAGAARTTTGAGTAGAAAAAAATCAACTGTTAAACACATCCACTCATTTCTTAAAGGGAAAAGGAGTAATTTATGTGTTATCACATTACAAACTGTGTCTCCAGCAGTATTTCAGGCTGAGGCGTCTCTGTGGCCCTGCAGAGGGACCGCAGCCTCAGGCCCGCCTGGCACGAGCAAGTGAGGGAGGAGTGTCCTCCACCAGGATTCACAGGCTGACACTCAAAGAACAATCCTGATCTTTTAATCCCATGACACGTAAAGCATGGGTGTGTCCGAGCCCACAGCACACTCCTGGCCCGAGGCAGTGTCTCGGCGCCTCAGGGCCCGAGCACCACCGGACACAGGCCAAATGCAGCGCGGTCCGGGGAGAAAACTGCCGGGAGAGAGTAAAAGAAGCAAAACCTCCCTACAAATGAACACGGTCCATCTTCTCTCATTCTCACCCGGGTCCAGCCGCTCACCAGAGTGCAGCCCTCCCCACAGCAGCCCCCAGGAGGTTCAGCCCTGAGGGCGCCATGGCCATAATGGACCCAGTGCCACAGCGTTGGTGGCCATGCCTTCCCTCAGCCRCAGCCTGGGGTCTCGGGCCAATCTGCCCCTCTGCGAGCCCGCCCTTCTGCGCAATTTCACCTTCCTCGCACGCCCTTTCACTAAATTAAAGTGATAAGAAATTAATGCACTCACAAAATACCCAGTGTAWATCTAGAAACCGTGCACAGAAGAACAAGGCAGAAACTCACCCCTTTGGAAACATTCCCACTTGCAAGAGCATATTAATAGACCTGCTTGCATTTCACTGAGGAGTATTTTCAAATGTTAGCACTGTGTTGAGCTCCCTGGTGCGATGCTGAGGGACCTGGAGGGCCACAGTGGGTCACACAGTCCCCCAATTGCAGCCACTTTCCCTAGGCGAGGCTGGCACAGGCCACAGCTGGTCACCACGCTGGCCACCACGCTGGCCACCACGCTGGTCACCACACTGGTCACCACGCTGGTCACCACGCTGGTCACCACACTGCCCACCATGCCCGGTCACCATGGGAGGGAGGTGCCTCTGTGGCTGCGTATGTTCCAGCCAGCACTCATCACCACAGGTGRCACAGATTCAAAGCTGTGCAGCTGCCAGTGGAGGCACCTGCTAAGCCCAGGATCCTTAGATCCAGAGGTTTAATGCAAGGTTCTATTACTCTCCATTAGCACAAAGGAGAAATCCCTACCAGATAGACTCAAGAGRTAAAAATCACACTGAAGTTTACTGGCAAAAATACCAAAATCAAACGATCAAAAATCAACRGACTGTGGCAAAGGATGAAATAAAACATATAATTCAACATTAAACCACTTATCAGAGGAGTATTTAGTGTTAATCTAGCATTTGCTTGGCATAAACTTAGCCCCAACCAAGAAAAACCCTGAAACTTACTAAATGCTCTAAACCCAAAAGTTCCAGGAAAAGAGATTTAGGGAAAGAAAGAGAGGCAGAGAGAAA